CTATAACTACTATAAATGTAATTTTAATGTAAAACCTATTAAATTGAAGCTTATAATTGTTAAACTTGCTAGAATTTAAGTAGAATTAATGAATGAGTATTTAATAAATGAATGGATTTTATGAAGATGAGTATCAATAAATTAATAATCAAAATTTCATAATAGTTTATTTGTCTAAAGTAAGCAGTGCTTTTCAATCCAATACATCATGCATATTGGCCCCACAAAGGTTTGAATTGTGAACCAAGGAGAATTAAAAAGGATTATAATTTATTGATAATAATTTGAAACTAGTATACATTATATAAATGTCTAACTTTATTTAGGTTAATTAGAATACGCATTTTAACTTACTAATTATAATATAAACACTTTTAATTGAAAGATTTTTATAAACACTAATTAACTTATAACTTTAAAAAGTTATAGATTTTAAGCCGTTTTATTCACTTTTTAATTGGAATATTTTAATGATCAATAATATGATGATTGTTAAAAATGTGATAGTACCTGTTTAAAATACAATATCAACAGATTTTTATTTGCTTTGACTCTGAATTATAATATATAATCATATAGGAATATTCCATTAGTTAATATAGATCTTATGTTTACTATATTATTTATGAAAAAATTATGGTTTGTGTTTTTTGTCCAATTTAGATTAATCAATTAGAAAATAAAAAATTTTAGATTTATCATTTCTAATTAGATAAAGATCATAAAAAATCAACTTACTTTCAATCAAGCAATACCCACTCCCAAATAATCCATATAAATATAAAATAAATACTTAAATTTTCACTCTTTTATTTATAAATTTTAATCTATTGTTATAAATTATACATACTAATAAATTTCAGTTTTAAAATTTGACTGTTGATATTTTATAAGCAGATTTACTCTGCTCGACTAAAAATAAAAAATATTAATTGAGAGTTTAATCTCTAAATTTAATGTAATATTTAGATTATTTATCTGAATAATATAATGAACAAGATTTATATTTTTAGGTTATTTTTTAGGACCTATAGCTAGAGCACTACTTCTAAAAATAAAAAATAAAAATAAATGATTATTTTAAATTCACTAGTAAGAATTTAATTTCTCTTTTACAGTCTAAGAATAAAATGTAAATGTTTCAAAATTTCATTAAATTTTAAGTGATTTCATTTTGGTTTTCTTGATAGCATTAATTCATTTTACATTTTATTCTTAAGCAATTAAATTTTGATCAAAAACAATAAGTTTAAATTAAAATGATAAGATTAAAAAATACTTATTAACCAGACCTATTTATATTCAAATAATGAGATTTATGAAGTATTTTTATATTAAATCTAAATAAATATTGGATATTAAGCTGGTTATTATTTGATGTCTTTTAATAAAAAAATCTTTCTTATCCATGATCTTTTTTATCTTTTATATATTTTTCTAGCTCCATTTTAGCTAATAGTTTACATTCATTTTTAAATAATCTAAAAGTTTATCAAATATAAATATTCATAAAAAAATTCGTTTAGAAACAATAACTAGTATTTTTGATTCAATAAGTTAATTTTTTAAAAAAAAAACATCTTCTTTATATCACTAATTGTTTATCATGTCTCAAATACCAATAACTTATATTAGTCAATCAATAAGTTTTTGTTATTCTTCTTGAAATAATCTAATGATTATCGAATTTTCAATTAATAAAAATTAAAAAAAATATGAAAGTGAATGAATGAATGTGATTTGGAGAAGTAACTTTTTTTTTGAATAATTTTAATATAACTTTAGATAAAAAGTGATTATGATTTAAGAAC